TGGTGAGCCTGACTCATGAATTTTAAATATTTGGACTTGGCAATACTGAGTATGACTTTAAAAATAAATTTTAAAAATCTATATAATGTTACAGTAAAAAATATGAGTAAAGATTAACACGAGAATCTCAAAGTTAGTACATTAATTTTTGATGGGAAGAACTTCTCATGTAATTCAAGATTAAAAGTAACTATTTACCCCAAGAGAGTCAGCTGTTTTGTAGATTACTCCATCCTTCAAACACTGTCATCAACGTGGGGAGAATGAAGGCCTCTATTGTAAGAACTTTATCCAAAATATACAAGCATTCATACAAAAGTAATTACTGGAGAAAACAGAAGAACATGAAATAAAATCTCAAGTCCAGTTACACTTTAAAAGGCTTTTGCACGCTCCTTTAATGTAGTATGTGCTTGTCTGATAGGCAAAGGAATACAGAAGAGTTACAAAGAGCACCATGGTTAAGAAGAAGAATCGGGAGACAATTACTGGGGCAAGGAGGGCATAGAAGCCAGTACTGCAGAAAATACAGCTACAATGGAAAAATGTGATGTTCTTTATTTATATGACTAGCTCTGTCTTATACTCTAACGCTCTTGGGTTTCACTACTCAATACAAAGATGAAGCACCCTATATTTTAATGGAAATAAATCCTGTTTAATAGCAGGTGATATTTATCCTGCCTATTGTGTTCAGCCTCCCCAGCATCTCACTGCAGCCTGTAAACAGTCAGTTTCTCAAGAACTAATACAGCATTTGAACATGCCAATTTTGATTTCACTAGCAGACAAAGGTCACCGCTCGCTATTCCAGTCAACAATGCCAAGAATTTGAAGTTAGGGTCAGTTAGCTAAAATTACAGGTGTGTCATCTTCTAAATATCAAAACCAACTTAAAACACAAGTCCAGATTGAACGATCACCTACAATATCATATTTACACCCATTTCTAACAGTGCCCCAGTATTGTCAGTATATAACAGAACAATGACAACGGAAGTTCTCACTTACTGCCTCAAGGGCACATTGTCCCCTCCAAGCACAGGGAAGTAATATCCATAAATGTATTTACATCAAGATAAAATTGATGGACTTGATTATGAACAGGTTTGTATGACGCATACCCTGAAGGTGTGCATGCATAAAAAAACCTCTCAAACACGTGGACTTCACTATTGAATTGGAACTCCTTCCTGACAAACTGCCAACATGCCGGTCATCTGAAGAAGTGGGCTGTGCCCATGAAAGCTCATGATACCATCTACATGTTTTGTTAGTCTTTAAAGTGCTACCAGACTATTTGTTGTTTTTTAAGTTTATCCTGTGCAGACGAACTCACCCCTTGAAGCTTTTAAACAGCCAACAGACAGGGAAACTGTGAATAGCAAGAAACCCAGCCACAGTGACCTTTGTAATCTCCAGGTATGAGTCCAAGTGCAGAAATCTTCAAACATCTCTTCTAATAAATCATTAAAGCAGAACAAAATTATTCAAAGAGATTTTATTTTACCAAGGGTCTAATATTCATAGCCAACAGCATGTGCTTTTTGTGAACGGGAAGGTTAAAGAACAGCTTGTGAGCAGAACAAATCCCTTGTAGGAGTTCATTCTTATGCAAATCACATTATTAAAGCACTAATTAAAACAAACACTCACTGAAAGTTCAGTAGCTTACCAAAGTGGCAATCTGTATGCAACAGCCACAACTTTTTTCCCATTTTAGGAATCGAATGTAGTCTCACTTTCTGCTTTTAAGTTATTACTATTATGCTAAAAATGCATTGTACAGTTTACTTTTGAACATTTTTTCCTGATGAACAGAAATGATTGGCTCTGCTCCACCACTTCACAGGTAAAGGCTTATTCACCACACTTTATACTGGATTTCATTCCACTTGTCTATAATGTACATTTAATCAGCAGACTGGGGGAAAAAATGTAACCAACTTCTGCTGTGGATTAGCAGTTTAACATTTCTCTAGCCAAGTAGAACATTGTTTGTGATTACATCTTTGTCTAAATACTGCTATCTTTACCCACAATTACTAGCAACAACACCAGATATTGTTGTACATTTATTTCCTTTCATCTTTGTTTAATAAGATGCAGATTTAATGAATAAGTTACTCAGATACCGAAATTCAGTTATCACTCCTCCCTTTTCAGCAGTGAAACAATCATGGCCTAAATTGAAGAGACAGAACCAACCTCCAGCTAGCACCAGACAGTGTTGTCTTACAGCTGAGTGTCACTGAATGAACAAACTGGATGAGACCAGACAACTCAGGAAGAAAACCAGCAGATCCAAGCACAAAAGTTGCATTTAAAAAATAAAAACAAAAGACGGTTCGCGTATTTAGGGCAAAGTTTTACCTTTTTCCAATAAAAATAAAATCTAATTGAAGCTGTCCCACTATTTATTTATACTGCCAAATATTACAGAGGGTGAGTGTGATTTTTTAGAAATACTGCAATTATTCACCCACAAGAACAGTTTGATTTGTGAAATACTTCTTAATTCTTTACTTTAAACAACATCCAGGAAAAAAACCTCCCTTCCTCCTCCCACCAATTCCTCAGTAAATGTTTAGCTCAGTTCATTATGCTTCAAACATCAGCCACATTGCTCAGGAATGAGCTTCAAGGTACTTGGCATAGTTTCAGCGGGACAGCAGTGTTAGTCTGTATCTGCAAAAACAACAAGTCCTATGGCTCCTTAGAGACTAAGATTTATTAGGGCATACGCGTTTGTGAAGTGGGTTTTACCCACAAAAGCATGTGCCCCAATATATCTGTTAGTCTCTAAGGTGCCACAGGACTCTGATGTTTTGGCGTACCTTATTCACACTATCCAAACAGTGGCCCATGGCAGAACCTGTTTAACTCTTTCACCTTTCATCTATACGCACTGTACCACTGTAAGAGGAGAAAAATTAAACCAAGTTTCTTCTTCATCGACCTACTAAAGTAAAATGCACAGATAACACTCACTTAACCACACCTTAGTTATAAGCCCGTGAAAGCCTGTTTCCATCATAAATCTTTTGAGCACTGCATGTGCATACAAGGAACTCTTTGGAACTTCAACATTAGCTAAAACTCTGATGGCATGTCTGCTCTCATGCTGAATTGAGCTATACATGTTTTACATTTTTTCCCTCTTTTTTTCCCCAATAGGCCAAAAAAGGAATAGATATTAACTTGTTCTGGGTACTTTCAACTTTTTAAAAACTATTCCTGAGAAAAATGCCTCATTAAAATATCTAATAGCTGATGTGTTGATATGATATTTAATAATTGCATTTGGTGAGTTGCAGTCTTTTAAAGGTAATATTTAAAAGTAACAATAAGCATTGTCAGATAACCCTAGGGTCCCTCACACTTCTTTATTTTATATTGAATGATGCCCAGTATAAAAGCATTTAGCCTGTCTGAGGCTGCAAATTAGCAACTAACCTAAAGTTTAAGTAGGTGGGAGTTCAGTCCCCATCTGTTGTAATTTTTTTTTTCCCCCTCTGAAAAATCCAACAGGGCCAGCTCGTGTAGCTGGTTCAGCAAAGGAGGAGCCCACCTTCGTGTATTAGCAATAGAAGCCAACTTGGGGCTAGACATTTGGACTCAGGCTGGCAACTGGCTCTAGGACCCTGCAAAGTGGAAGGGTCCCAGAGCCTGGGCTGAAGTCCAAGCAATTGAACAGTTCTTTAGTCTGAACCCTGTAAACGTGCATCGCTGGCCTGGACTAGCCTAGGGTGTCTAACTGCAGTAGAGACATACATTTGGTATCATTCACCCCCTCCCCACAGGAAAGCTGCTACTTGTGTCACCATAGGGCAAGGAGCCCGCAGAGTGGGGAACAAAGGTAGCAGACAAATGAAGGGTTTTACTTTGCACAGAGACATTAACTTTTGAAGCAGTAAACTAAGTGTAGAATGTTTACCTCTTAATCCCCTAACCACTATCCCATTAAAGCTGCAGCGAATGATCCGCTCTCTGCAAGACTGACTGCAATCCTGCTGGCACAAGCTCAATACATGCCAAATGTTTCTGTATACAAAGAGAATCTCTATTTATTCCCTCTAAACGAGCAACCTGAACACATTCCTCATCCATCTCATTGAAAGAGCTCTCCCAAATGACGCACTTCACATTCAGAGTGTGTCATTGTTCTGCCAATGTTTTCATTTATACACAGAAAACTTAACAGGTAGGAGGAGACTGACACCAACTACAGTGACAAAAAAAATCTTATGGAGTAGATCAATAGCACCAATGGTTCAGAAGATTTAAGTGCAAATGAAAAAAATAAAATCAAGAAAAAAGGTCAAAGGAAAACAACAATGAACATTAACTAACTCTTATCCCCACTTTGCATTCCTTTGAGGCTGGAAATCTGAGAAAACACACCATCCTTTCTTTCTATTATACCCACAGTTCTATTAGCTGAAATGCATTTGATCTGTACGGAGTTTTTTGTTGCGGTTTCCAGGGTAATATTATACTGGCACTTTGCAGAGCCTGTGGAAAAGAATTTGAATTCCCATAGATCATGGGCAAGATATTTTATCTTATGATAATGTACAGTGTATGTGATCAAACTTTTCACACACTGTTGTAATTAACTTATATATTGTACACAGAATAGAAACTAAAAAGCTTATTTGCTGTTTAAACAGTAATAAGGAGTAATATTCAAGAACATTTAAACAGTTAATAGAAATATGAACACAAGCATTTAAACTGAGTTGTTCTTGGTGTAAGTATAGCTTCAGACTTGTAGAATGTGTATTCTCGTGCATAGAAAATATCATCTCATGCACAGTCACTTCCTATGTAGAGGATAGTAAACTAAGCTTCTTAAATGTAATCAGAAACCAGGCAGTGTATCTTTCAACAGTTACACCCATTAACTAGTGCCTCATTTTGAACTTTTAAAAACAGCACAAAGGAGAGGAGATTTGCAGTAGCAGATTATTTATTCCCCCCCGCCCGTACTTCCTTACCAGTTTTTGAGCTTCTGGACTGAAGCAGTCTGCTTCCGTTTGCATGGCTGTAAAGTTGGTTATTCAACTTCCAGAGTTTTTGAAGTTCAAACACAAAAAGACAAAATATCCACACTATTGCTTGCTAGGCTTCTGCTTTATTTACTTAACATCCCAGGAAAGTAATTTCTGATCCAGCTGGTCAAGTGTTTATCCAAACAAGATGATTCTGTCCACCTCTCAAAAATCCTCGGGTTTCTGACATCAGTGGAGTGCAAACCCTGCTCTGCTGACAAGTCCTCCTAGGGGAGTGGTCAAGACACAGGGCGAGTCAAATAGGTGCTCTACGGAGCACACAACAAGTCAACGTTCTTAATACAAGAATACTTCCTTCACTGACTCAGAAAATGAGCACAAGCACAGACTTCCTCTGACAAAACTTTCAGTTCTTGAAGTTTAGATTACTACTTAAGTTTCCACCTACTCTCCCCACCCTACTTCAAGACTCATCACAGGACGTGCACTGGGAATGGCAGGACGGTAATAACTTACAGCTCCATGCCTGTCAGTAACTACAGATCTCGAGTCAGCAAGTAAGCAGCTGGCTCAAAGGTGCAGGAAAGCAGACAAGCTGACTTTTCCTCTCAACTAAGTATAGGACCTTTGACTAAGCAACTGTCATCAGAAAGTGTGCTGCAAAATCATTCAGTGTTTCAACTAATCTTTCCACAACTGCACTAAAACATCAAGAACAGGATGTGCTTATTGCCATAATGTTTTCTACAGCCATCACTTAACAGACTGTTACTATTTCAAATACAAACAGTTTGAGACTTTATGAAACCTGCTGGGCTACTAGAATAAGTTTAATCAAGTACATAAACTTATTTTTAAAATCAGAGAATTTTGAAAGCCACTTGTAAACTATTCCCTTTTGCCTCTTACCCAGCTTTTCATAATGTGAAGCAAAAACCCCATCATTAGCCATAGCTACACTAAAATAGAGTCCTGTGGTTACATGTGAGCCATGTAGGACACGGACATAACCCAAGATGCTACTTTGGGTGCACCGCATTCAATAATACTTGTATGGCTTCTCATATGTGACTGATATTCATATCTTGAAAAATCCAGCTGCAAAGAGTCAGCCACTCTAGCACAATCACATCAGTATGCTGGCTTTATTTATGAGGATTTATGGTCACAATCCCCACCAGATTTTACCTTTAGTACAATACAGGCAGTCCCCGGGTTACGTACAAAATAGGGACTGTAGGTTTGTTCTTAAGTTGAATCTGTATGTAAGTCGGAACTGGCATCCAGATTCAGCCGCTGCTGAAACTGATCAGTTTCAACA